GTGCACGGCACGCATTAGGAGTTAGTATACCAAGTGCATTCCGCCTCATCGTTAATGGACCGATAGGCTTCGGCGGGATATTAGTGCATGGGGGAGGGAGATAGAGGGAAGGACAAGGACGATCTGAAGGTATTCCTTCTCACGGCAGCTCAGTGTACGCTCAAAGTAATTATCTTGAAGAGCTTGAAATGCCGCCAGGTGCTGGCAGTTATGCGTTGAAAAGTTGCCCATTGACACGATAACCCGTTCCTACTCAGGACCGTGGCTCCGAATACAATGGCGTCTTCTTAATGTCGGCCACATGGAAACTCTGTCCGATGAGGGATTTGAGGCCTTCTTTTGAAGACTAATTCGTGTAGACTCAGAGACAGGCAGGTAGGCATGACTTAAGCCTAGTCAGTCACAACACAACTGCATCCGGGCGTCCTAACTGTATCTTGCCATTACATCCTGGTGAGTGCGGAAAGGTAAGATGGGATAGACGCTGCGCAAGTTTGCTTCCCTATGAGCAAATTCAAGCGTAAGCTGTCGCTGTGTTTTCTCTAAAACAGCAGTAGACCTTGCCACCCACTACGGTAGAATAATCTTGCCTGTTTGACGATGAATCGCGCAATGAGGATGATAGAACTTACACAACCAGAGGTTGGCTTGTAAATTGATGATTTGACAAAAGGTATTCGAAACGATTCTTCTCATCGCTCGCGTGCTGGTCTACGATGAAGAGGTCCCGTTCATGCTGGCAGGTGATGAAACCACGGTTGAACTGGCCAACGACTCGCATGCTTTCGAACCAAGTTTTACTATAGAAAAGAGGACAAAAGGTAGGCATGGGAAAAAAATAGCTTTCCCCAGGGCAGCCGCTAATGGATGTAGTTATGAGCAGCCGAAAAAAGAACTAAAAATAAATCAAAAGTTGGTCGTGTAGAAGCTAACTTTGTCACGGAACAGAGGTGGTGCGCTACATCTGTTTGACCGTCTCGGGAACTTGTGAAAGTGAACCATGGCATTATAGATTTCTAAAGGAGGACTTTGTTTAGAAAGCGTTCGACTTTCATTCCTCAAGTAGACAACAGAATTCAGCCACTGGTCACCGAAACTAAGATGGTGGTTTACACAAGGATGAACTGTTTCCCCTGAGCAGGCTTGATCATTTCATGGTAGAAAAATAAAAATCATGCATGCGAAATAAAGAGGTATTATCTCAATAAACTAGTGGGGAAAACATGGGTAGGCAAATCGTTAACACTCCGTGGGAAGTAGCAGAATAAAATCACTGAATTGTGCTCACATCCCGCCTTTTTTTACGTTCGGTAAAGTCTATAATCAGTAACTTGGAAACAGTTACCTAATTCCTTCAAGTTGGTGGCTCAGGGGGAATTTGTAATACGAGAACGGTAAACTAGCATGCAGGCGTAAAGCCAGGCAGTCCTGTAACGAATCGGAGTGCTTTTTAACTGCAGTAAGGTGTCGTCAATGTGTGCGTCAGGAAATCTCAGATGTAAAGCCAGTGCCGGCGGACACTTCAAAAAGTTGGCCGACCCACCTGAAACTTATTGTCAACTCCGATTCAGCGGCAGGTTCAGTGAGGCCGGCTCGGAAATTTCCAACAGACGCAGCCGGCGATGATTTATCGGATTGGGTATCCTCCCGTGACTGCGATTTCCAAAACTTGCGCAGTCGGTTCATTGAAAAGGGCGCCTTTACGGTTCTTCTAGTTAGCGAGGACTAAAACCAGACGAATAAAGGAAGGTGAACGAAGGCAAACATAAGAGTCGGCTAGGCATGTATTACCATCATTCCCCATCCCAAATATGACCATCACTTTGAACTGGCATTAGTATAAGCTAGAAACGTTTTAACTGTATCTTTTCTGAAAACGAAAAATTTCGTCTTGTCTTCATGAGATAGGCAACCGACTGTAGGAACGCAGTGGGTCGTGGAAGAGAACGAGTAAGGTGCTTGTGTAGTCACCCTGTAGCGCCTTCCACCTTCGGCGCCACGAACAAGGTCATGTGATTGCG